TTACAACACTAGTTGCATTGAGTGATAAATGTTTAACGTGATTTTACGGTGACGGCGCTAAGGCAACTCACAATACAGCGCTATAATCTCCTTGGCCGCACGTAATATTACGATGATGGCGACCGGCGATTGTCCGCACTAGTGCGGTTCTGCGTTATGAAATTTTTATATTATTGTTATAAATATTAAATAATTTTAAACTTAAATACATTTTAATTAGTACAAATACTTGCATCAAAGTAACACTATGGTTATTTTCTAATGAAAGTATACACTTTCATTGCAAATAGTGACAGTAATATCTATAGTGCCTTGTTTGTTCTTAGACAACCTATTAAGTATTTTTCGAATTCGCCCCATCCCTAGTACTCGTAAAATTACGTGATTGGCGATACAGATAATGGAGACGGTGACCACAATTTAATTAAACCTCAAATTTCACAGTATTTATCACTCAAAACATTGAGAAATATCCATAACAATAAAGATACATACCCTACATCTTGAAATTGACACATTTTATATGGAGTTTGTGCACTATAAGAAGATTTTTAATAAAATAACGTGATTGTACGTATGTGGCGATTCGGACACAGCTTTCGAAACCGTAATATTACGTTGTCGGCGGTTAAAGGGTTAAAACTGGCAACTCAAGTTCATGTTACAAAGGTCTTGCCTGTTCTCCCTTTACTATATCTTCAATTCAAATATAAATACTAATCCGCAGTCCAATTCCTTTTATCCTTCAACTTCTTCATGACTCCAAGCACTTCAAGCCTGAACTCCAGCCTCTCATTTTCATTATACTTCACAACAGTAGGTAATAAAGAGGCAAAAAATGCCTCATCTTCGTTCATTATCCGCGGGTCATTCGCAAAACTTGTATCAACTTCAACAAAATTAATATCGTTTATAGAATCCATGATTGAAGAATCATCATTTGTATCTTTGATGCTACTTTTTCTTGTTTTCTTTCGACTAGTCACAGACTCTTCATCATCAAAAACGAATTTGCTGGATTTCTTTTTACTTTTACCCTTACGGTAACTGTAATCACTAACATCTGTTGATTTCGAGTCGAAATCCCGTTTTGAACGTTTCGTACTGCTATAGCTAACTTCGCTGACTGAATCCACTGCTTTAGTGGCATCAAAATCAATTTTCTTACTGCCAAAACTAGTGACATTACTGATGGTGAAATCACTTGAAGTTTCAGGCACTATTTCAGTAGTTATTGTATAACTAGTTTCAGGTTCTTGTTTCATAAAACTAGGGTCTAAATTCAGTTCTCTATGGCTTTCATTCGCAGCTTCAGGTATGATTTTCATTAGGAATTCTAAGTGTTCGTGTAGTACGTATTTCTTCTTTGGCTTACCCATTCTAGTTTTTAATGTTTTGTTAAATGTATCTCTGATGTTTGTCCATTTGTTCAGAATTAGTTCTCCTGTAACAAAAGATAAATAAGTTATTTATTTGCTAAGTTAGTGTAAGCATACTAAGCATTCATCACCGCCCATGGACATCTGCAGACAGGGCCGTCTTACGCTACACTAAGGGCCCAAATTTGTTGTGTGCTCTAAGGTTGGGACTTAGGGCACACAATAATAGGGCCTTCTTGAAATGTATCTTTTTTAACGTTGCCCTACATTAGGATTTTCTCCTATATCGTGAGTGCATTTACATACATACTAGTTCACATACACATGACACCGAGACTTAAACAACAATTTGTCGATCAAACAAAGATTTGCTCCGTGGGGGAATCGAACCCGCTACACGTTGCAGGGCATACGGTTGCCGCGCAAGGTTTGCGGGTGTGTGTCCATCGTAGGAATTGTTGGTCCTTCGAGGCCCCCTAAGGATAGGGGCCCAAGGCATAGGCCCCGAGAGCCCTTATGGTAAAGACGATACTGGCTGCAGAGGAGTTGTAAGTGCGTTATCGGCCATTTAAAGAATCCTTCTTTAAATGGAGGGAATTTCTTTAAGGGACGAGGAATTCCGCGTCCCTTCCACGGGTTTGCCACAGAACAAAAATTTGTGTATCACGATGTCTCATTTACACGGCTTAACATAACGGAGGCGTTGTTACACGCCGGTTTTCATTGAGGCCGTTGTATCAATCCGATTGAGCTAGACAATTTTTTTTTGTATATCCACGTCATCCTCATCATAATGAGAGATCCCGAGTTCAATTAAGTAACTTGTCAACTGACAATTAATGTTTACATTCAATCACAATAATAATAACATCAAAATTAATTCTCATCCTTGATAAGAGTTAAGTTCTCATGTACCTGTGTACCTACTACGTATCATGCACGTTATCATTGATTGCAATACCTATCAATATCGCTTGGAAGATTTGTAAATATTTTTAGAAACTTAACGCAAATATTACAGACAATAGAAGTTGACTATCCAATACAATAACTTCAGAACAACATGTTTGTTTCCATTACATACCCGTGATTCTCTTCTCTTCAGGCGTCATATCTTCATAACTGTCATCCAATAAGTTAAAAATTTCTTCCCAAGCGCTCCTCCGTTCCGTTCGATCTTTATAATTTTCCAACGTTTTATCCCATAAACACGGCCGCTCCTTAACATATCGTATTAAACTTATCACATCGTACTTAAAATCACGTACTGATCGCATTTTACTACGAAAACAATTAAATTAAACAACAAATTAAGTTTATTTCGTTGTTTAGTCGAAGCTGTTTACACACCCCAGTCTGACACGTCACTACGACGTGCTATGGATAACCATTTCTCGAATCGGATCGTGATATTGCTGTCTCACTCTTTATGTACAAGAATGAGGGAGAAAGAATCACGATTCGAGGTCACCGACATGGCGGCGCGTCCGTGTGCCAGCACCGAGTGTTTCATAGTCCAGTGTAAGTTGAACCTGCTCCTCATATGAAATGCATTCTCTTGTTGGTCCAGCCGAATAGCTGTTGGTATGCGTGTTCATTGTTCCAGTCAAAATGTCGAATCGTGGGTGAGATTGTAAACTTTGCGTTATGATTTTATGAACAGGGGTGTAAGGAATGTGAGGAAAAAAGTAAGATTGTCTAGGTGCTACATTATTATGGTTGAATAAGCTTTTTATCACAGGTATTCATGCAGTCAGGAAGTTAATTAAACATTATTTTAAAATCACTTTGATTTTAAAATATTTGTTTACGTATCTAAGAACATTGTTACAATGTATCTAACATTTACTATGGCCCATCTATAAATTCGTCTTGTCTGTTTATTCATTTAGGAGTTGGATAGATTGAGTTATAATTTTATCATGTTTGATAACGAACTCGCTGCTTCAATTTAAAAATCGCCTGCACATAAGTTTATAGCAAAATATTGCTTGCGATAAATATGTAACTCCTTCACCACCAGGCAATTATGTAGACTTTTCAAAAAAGACCAGCTAATTACTTCATTGGAGATCTTATTGTTTGTTTGTCCGTTTTGAAACTGTAATCTAACCCGGCTACCAAGCGTGGAGACTGGAGATGGAGATTATGGCAACCACTAAAATGTTCATAAGTAGTGGAGGTCCGTTGTCCAGTTGTGGTGACAACTTCACAAGACATCCACTGTTAAACATAGGTCTATAACTCAAACTCAAACTCAAACTCAAAGTCTTTATTTGCATGTTAAGGTAATACATACAGGTCTTATGAAATAATTTAATGACTGAACAAAACGATTTGTCATGATCATTATTATGTAAAATCTACGTAACTTATAAAATATATTAATCAACAAACAGGTTACAAATATCTTAAATTTTTTTTTATTTCTAAACCTTATTACCCAGTTACCTGTGCCACATTCTGTTTAAAAAACCTTAAAAAACCGGTGTCAAAATTCGCGGGGCAACATTATTTTGTTGAAGTATCGATCAGTCTGCGCGCGCAATGGAAAACTGTCATAAGAATTTTGTACGTGAAAAAATACCATAGCGACACCGTGTCTAGGTTATTTTAACAAGTTTTAAAGAAATACATGCATTAGAATTACTAGAAATAATAATAAAATATAGTTTTTGAAGTAAAAAAGTGTATTACAATGGTTTTACATTAGTTTTTGTGGATATGGTGTATTAATTTTTTATCTGTATTTCGCCGGTTGCAGACTAAAGGTATGTTGTTATATTTCATAAAATACTTAGCGTATTTAACGTCACAGTGCAATTAGGCCTTCGGGTAAGATAATAGGGCTGTATAGTTTCTGCTGGCTTGATTAAGAATGAAAATAAAAAGAGTTAGTCGCATTCGGGCTTGTCATCAGCTGATCGATAAGCTTAGGTATTCACCCTCCATTTACCGTGTTAGGAGCGCTTATCCAAGCATTACGAACGGATAAATATAGAAATACATACTCATATACACAGGCTTCTAGGTATTTCGCGTCGTATATAGCCTACATAGGTAATGTTACTAGGTACCAACTTCAGGCGTTTTCAAGGCTAAGTATTTTCAGTACCTACCTAACTGCCTAGATCAATGCTTTAATATAACAATACTAAGTCTTACTTGATTAATTAAATTCAGGTAAATAGTTTTGAGTGCCGAAGGACATACAAAGTGGAATTTGATGATACTAGGTATATTAAATAGCGTCCAATGCGCATCTATCATTATTTCAAGGCTTTTAGTTATGGTAGTCGTCATAATTCTATAAGTAAACAGTTTTTATCGATTAAGGACATTGAGTGAACATATTGCTATTGTAGCAACGTGCCTTTGATATAAATTGTGCAATATGTTGTTCAATTTCAACATGCTATTATTTTTCTGAAAGGCGTTTTAATCTTTCGCTTGATGTAACTATTAAATTTTAGTAACACAATTACTTAGTTTGCTAATTAAATATTCAGTACAAATATGTATTTAACGATAAATATAGTAGTGATTCTACGGTGGAAGGCCACAGTTATATAACATATCTGCTAGGTCTTTCGTTGTTGTCCATTATGCATGCAAATTTTTGAAAAAAAGTATTTAGGTACTATACTGAGTAAACAAGGTTAGCGCGTAATATTGTGTAATAATCATGTAGTATACTTGTATGTTACAAAATAACTACGCAATGTAGATAAGAGTTATTAAGACAAACACTTAACTGGATACATATTCATACTTAGACCTAGGTATCGAAACTAGCTTCGCGACTTCGTCAGTGTAGCCATAACACAAAATACCTATAGCCTATATCACTCTCTAGCTTCCTAATAATCATTTCCAGACACAAAAAATCCCATTTATAACCATTTTTACAATACTAGCTTTTAGTTATAATAAATTCAAACATACACTGACACTTTGCTCAGATAATAATTCTAGATTAACATCATCTATTATTGAAAATCGTTAGCTAGTTAGTTTTTGACTTTTTATCGCATTTCTATGGCAAGACACAAAAGATGATTTCTTGTATCTGTTTTATGGCATAAGCCGGTAAACGAGCTGACGGATCACCTGATGGTAAGCAATCAGCGTTGTACTGGAATATCAATGACGTAACAAGTGCGTTACCGGCCTTTTTGGGATAAGGAATTTGAGGATTCTTGTGGGATTCAGAGATTGGGGAGATTAGAGAGAGGGGAAGGGGAGCGATGTAATTGGGTCTCCGGTATCCTCATTCACACGCCGAAACACAACTCAAGCGTGGTTTCACGTCGGTTTTCTGTGAGGCCGTGGTGTCACCCGGTCGAGCCGGCCCATTCGTGCCGAAGCATGCTTCTCCCACACTTAATGAAAACCATTAGCTAGCTAGTTTTTGAGTTTTCATCACGTGTATACGACACAAGACACAAAAGAAAATTTCTTGTACCGATGCAGTTAGGATGTAGGTACTTTCTAGTTGTTACTATTCCATGGTACTAGCGACGTCCTATATTAATTTTTATACATAATATCTTGATTTATGTTTCAAAGCAGATTGCCCAGTAGTTAGTTACCTACAATTGCTAGTATACCGACAGCAACGATTCCCTACCTACTTACTCTGTATTGGTAGATAAATATGTACACTGGAGCATTGATTACAAATAATTTACGGTACATATCGATTGGTTTTACCCTTGACAACGTTTACTTGCTATTTATAGAGACCCAGAGCTCGTTTCCATTCGATATATCAATGTTTGCACCTAATTAAATGGAGATTGTTCTATGAAATAGGTTCTTTATAATTGCACATGTATCAAAGTTGGTAAAACATGTAAAACTATTTATTTATATTTATTTATTAACTCTTTATTACATCCCAATATAAGGTACATAACATAAGGTGGACCACATGGCATTTTCTCCCAGTCAATCTTTGGGTTCAGTAGAGAATCAGCAATGTAGTCGATAAGATGTTTCTATTTTACATTTCTCAATATTATCATTATCATGCCTTTTATTGCCGCAGGGGTAGGCAGAGGTGCCACTGTACAATGTAACATCCCCTTTTCACAATTTATGTTATGAGTTCCATGTAATAGGGGGTGGGTCCATTGCTATATACCAGGCACGATTCCAAATTCCGTGCTACAACTGAGACTTTTTTTAAAAGCGAAGTAATACTTTGCCCTACTAGGGAATCGAAACCGAGACTCCTTGCCCGTCAGTCGCACTTGCGACCACTAGGCAAACGAGGCGGTCTAAAGTCAATATTAATGTCTCGTTTGGACATAATGAAGTCCAAAGAAATCCAATCCAAAGAAATAAATAAATAGAGTGTCGTAGAGAATCACGGAGCAAGTTACACAAAATTACGCGGGCGATAATATGTTTACATTATCTCTAGGTAATTCCAGAAGATCCGTGAATTCCCGTGTTGAGAACTACCTTCCTTTCCTTAACCAGTAGGTAGTCGCAGCCACAGTTATTTAAACCAAGCAGTAGTCAGTAATAATTCTTTCATCAACTACGTTTAAGAAAACCGACTTCAAACCCCTCTTTTCTTCAAAAGTCGGTTAATTAAACTGTCAAACACCAAGCGGTCACCGGTGACCGCAACCTATTGTTCTATAATTGTGTCTATAATGACAGTACTCAACGAGCTAATACCTATGCTAAAACCGGACCGGAGTGATACCACGGCCTCACAGAAAACCAACGTGAAGCAACGCTTGCGTTGTGTTTCGTCTTGTGAGTGAGGTTACCGGTGGCCCAATTACCCTTCCCTTCCCCAATCTCCTCAATCCTTAAATCCCCAACAATCCTCAAACTCCTAATACCCAAAAAACCCGGTAACGCACTTGTAACGCCTCTGGTGTTCCAGGTGTCTATGGGCGACGCCGATTGCTTATCATCAGGTGATCCGTATGCTCCTTTACCGGCTTATGCCATAAAAAAATCTCCTAAGGGAAATAAACACTTTTATGAAAACCGCGTCAAAATCGGTTCAGCCAATCGCGAGATAATTGCTTACAAACATACATGCATACACACATACAAACATAAGTACATACAGACGGGTCAAACACCTTCTTTTTTTTGAAGTCGTTTAAAATCACCTTTATTTCTTTTACGACAAAAGCGTCTTTTAATGCCAATCCTAGAGAGTTCATTATACCATACCCAGATTGTCTAGGAAGCTCTTCTGTTCCAGGTTAAGATGTGGACGGTATGCCTGCCAGGATGGGCAGCGGCCGTGGTGGCGGGTGCCCTACTGCTGTACGGGAGCATAGACGTTGCCTATTTCGCGAGGATGATGTACACTGTCGCTAAGGCACGGTACTTCAAGAAGAAAGTATGTATCATGGATACTACGGAGGTGGAAGGTACGAACACTTTGTTTTGAACGTGTTTATGTAGAATAGTTTATTTTAAAAGAATACATGATCATGTGTATAAGGATTTTGATAATGTGTTTGAGTCGATAGTGTCGACTTCAACTTGATAAACATTCACCAGATACACGCAATTATGTTAAGTAGTATAAAAGTAGTCTTGTTTCTGATTTAGTGTATATCCACTTCATACCAGTTATCTCTTTTTATTACGTTCTGGTATTCTAATAAACTTTTACACTACCTAAAACTCAACAACGGCTTAAGACCAGGGTGCTTACTCTTGAAACCAATCTCAATGTCAATGCAATTGCAATCCAATAAAATCTCAATAAGTATCCAATGTTAAAACTATACAACCCCTACCGTAGCTGTTAAAGTAGCATTCAGAGTACGGATTATAAAAACAAACTCAATACCATTTAGTTCATTCAATATCCACGCAATACGGATGCAATAGGCGCTAGTATTACAACTCAAGAGTACGAAATTTCACAATGTCAATGTCGATCGATCGGAATTGGATTCAAGAGTAAGCAGCCAGGAGAGGGCTTTTTTACTATTTACCGAAAATCACGAAGGGGTCGGGCAAAATCGGGATTGCGCGTACGAAATCGCGGGCAGAAGCTAGTTATTGTATAAGAGTTAGTTATTACAACAAAGCCTTTAAACTGTCACCGGTGACCGCAACCTATTGCTCTATAATTGTGTCTATGATGACGGTACTCGACGAGTTAAGTGTGAGAGAGCCATGCTTCGGCACGAATGGGCCGGCTCGACCGGGTGACACCACGGCACTCATAGAAAACCGACGTGAAACGCTTGCGTTGTATTTCGCCGTGTGCTTGCCGGAGGCCCAATTAAAACGTGTTTCCCAGAATCCAATCCCCGAATCCCCCACAATCCTCAAATTCCCAATTCCCAAAAGGCCGGTAACGCACTTGTAACGCCTTTGGTGTTTCGGGTATCCATGGCCGGCGCCAATTGCTTACCATCAGGTGATCCATCTGCTCTCTCCGTCTTTACCGGCTATATATATACTATAAAAAAAACGCGATTAATGACCTTACTGGTGAAAAAAGAGTGTAGCCTTATAAAATGTCTGAACAAGCCACTAATTACGTGTGTATTGTATTTTCCAGCATGGTGTCTAGTAAATGACATCGACACGCTCCTCTACCACATGAACAACGCCCGCTACCTTCGGGAGCTGGACTTCGCAAGAGCTGACTTCTATGAAAGGACGGGCCTCTACGCCAACATCAAGGCAGCAGGCGGCGCCGTGGTGCAGGCTGCTTGCACCATCAGATACAGGCGGTTTCTAAAACCGTTCACCAAGTTTATTATTACTTCTAAGGTAAGTTCTACTTTGGAGTTTTGGTCTCATTTTATTAGTATCTCCGAGAAGTAGATTTCAAAGTGAAATGTTATTTATGTTCTGTTAGGTAATTAAACAAAAATTACTTGATCATAACTGTGACTGGAAACATGACGTTTTGGGTTGTATTCGTCGTATAAAAACCGAAAGTGTCGCTGACAGAAAACTGTTGAAATATTCCAATATGATTCCCCAGATGGCTTTCAATTTATTTAAACCTTTTGGCCTACATAGGTATATGGATGATTACTTGATCTAGCTGAATATAGATACATAATTTTAGGTACTAACTAGTATCAATTCCATTCCAGGCAATATTTTGGGACGATAAGACAGTCTTTATGGAGCATGAATTCATAGGCCCTGGTGGCTTCGTGCACGCGATAGCAGTATGTCGGCAGCGTGTTATTGACACTTCTGCTGCTGCTATAGCAGAATTACTGCTGCAGCTGCATTGCGGAGGATCTTGCAAACACCCTCCTGAGAAGATGCCCCCTGAGGTACGTGAGTTCGATCTAGGATACTTGGAAATTGAAGTCGAATATTTATTAATTAGTTAGGCCGAGTGCTTATGTAAGTGAAAATTTAAGTAGTGTACCTATGGGTTGTTTTTATAGGATTTTTTGGCTGTTAGTTGAAGTTTACTGAATGATTTCTGGAAAGTAGAAAACATAATATACTAGGTAGAATTTTATAGTGCCACCTGAAGAAACCCTTAATATTTGAAGTGCTAAAACCATTAGGTCAATCATTGAAGTAATAATATATAATATTTCATTGTGTTCTTTTGATTCAATTTATGAAGTTTGTTAAAGAAATTTCATCCTTATTGAACCTAATGATCGATGCAATACAAGTACAGGATGCAACTATTACAGATTAGTCGATTTAGTCAGATTTAGTCTTTTCGATTACCGTGCGGCAAGCGAGTTTTTGAAAATCTTTGAATGCCGTGCTTTCTATTCAAAAATAAAGTAATGTTTTATTTGAGTAAAATTTTCTATCGTAAGTATTAAGAGTACTCCCCCTTGAGGTGGCATTACAAAATTCTATCCTGTATATGGGGATGACACTGACAAGTGTCCCATATAATTTAGTTTTCTACTCTACAAGTAGGCAAGCACTAAATTGCATGCTACAGCTGCAGGATTGATGTTCAGTGCAAACTCTTTTTATATTACGCTTGATGGTTTAATCGGTTTTTAATTGCCCTTTAATTGGTCATTAGTCCCTGTTCCCATGTTCTCCCTTATTAAATCATGCCCCTTTCCTTCTTATCCTCCTATTCCTTTATCCTCTTAATCATCGATGCGTACTCCATCCCATTCCGTACACCCATTGATTTTTAGCTATCAATGTAGATAATTTAATTATTTCAACATTGATTGGGAAGATATGAAGGAAATAGGGACATGATTACCCATTGCTCAAAACTGAGATGTAAGTCACTAATGATGACCACCACATTATGAATGCCAGCTCCAGAAATATATGAACTGTCTTCGTAAGTACCAGTCTAAATTGGATATGTATTTTTAATTCCAGTTGGAGCTTTGGGTGCAATGTAACGAGCTTAGCTCAGCTCGTCTTCGAGCCCCAACTGCTCCACTACCAGTCCTAGACGCTACCCAAAACCTAGGCTGCGGAGAAATGGTACCAGCAGCAGTTGAGTGAAGCCACCCTTTTCACTATCCAGCTCAGCATACACACAATAAGTGTGAGTGAGACGGCAATAGGGTATGCTCGCTCGATAGTGAAATTTTTGTCAGATGTCGCGTTGTCGGCGTGCGGTACGGACGTGTATTAAACGGAATTTAATGTTAAAAGCTCAGCTTTTGATGTTAATTTCTTTAAGAAAGTTGGTTCAAGGGACGGATTATATGAAGCTGTGTCCGCAGGATAAGCAGAGGTGCTTCTGTGTATTAACATAAAATGTACCTATCTGTATTTACCTATAAGTGTTTAAATGATATAAAAATTTAAACGAAAGCTTTTTATTGTTTATGAAGTTTTGAATAATTTAATCAATGGCAGATTGATCTTGTTTTATTGTGTATCCGTGTGTGTTTGTTTTTAGATGTCATCACATGTAATTAATATCCAAAAATGTAATGGATCAAAAGTATTCAATTGAATATGCTTGTTAATTATGAACTTTATTTATTTGAATGTGTTTAATGGATATCATGTTATAAAATATCGTCAAATTATGTGATCTTCTAGCTAAGCTAGGTTAAAATAATTAATATTAATAAAGATGTAAGGTTTAGTTCACATTGAGTTTAGGTTTAAAGAAATTATCCTTGAGGGATTTCCAATGAAGTAAGTGATATCTAATGAGATCTTTTTCTAGATCTGTTCCTACAAGCGGGTTTCATTGATGGGAGCACTTCTTCTAGCCTGTTTGTTGGAAACACGTGTGGAATTGATTGAGAATTGAATAAGTGGATCCTATTTAATCGAATGAGATCCATATGCACAAAGTTGCTTAGGAGAAAGAGGAAAATTTGAGGCCCGCGTACAATTTTACCACTGAAATCGAAAATGCATTAATATATTATGGATTTTTTAAATGATAAGAAATTGGATAGTTTTCGTCCTATGTTACAATTACAATATTATTCTATTTACATGTTCTTGTCACATAAGTCAAGTTTATCATTTTGATGTACTGAAATTAATTACAAATTAGTTCTCGTTGTCAGATTTCTTGGTATTTCTAAAAATAGAATGTCGATTATTAAGCATAATATTATATACTCGGTCTTTATTGAGATTACGACATTATACCTCTAAGCATAAACTTCATAATATCTCTTTGTTTAAGAAGTGAGATCTAAGCGTTCCTGAATTCCTCCTAAAAATAAATATTATTTTAAAGTCTATAATGGCTTGAATTATAAGACTATGCTTCGAATAGGGAGATATACACTTTCTATTGAATTATCATAACTGGTGTTAAGGGTTGTCTGCTTACCCTCTCTTTAGAAGGCGTGTCGTAAGTACCTGATTTTAGACTCAATGTGAATTAATCCTTGAAAAATCTTCACTATATTTAATGTAAATGTATATAATAATTATTTATTGTCCTTATCTAAATAATTATGTAGTACAATAAAGTTTAAATGAGGTTATATGGATTTTTATTGTGATGAAGGGGTCTTACACAAATCTGCGATGCGATGCGATGTGAATTCGTAACGTAGAAAATTACGACACGAATTGCTGCGATGCGATTTTCACTATCCAGCTCAGCATACACACAGTAAGTGTGAGTGAGACGGCAATAGGGTATGCTCGCTCGATAGTGAAATTTTTGTCAGATGTCGCGTTGTGGCCGTGCGGTACGGACGTGTATTAAACGGAATTTAATGTTAAAAGCTCAGCTTTTAACATTAAATTGCTGCGATGCGATTTTGTGTGACAATGCGTCTCCCAGGGTATACTAAGACTATTCATTTGACGACCGTCAACCATATTAAACGTATTTTAAATTGAAAACTAGGTTTTGAAATGGATCGTAAAAAGAAGTTTGCACTTCTGTTATTGCTTAGGTGTGATACAGGAAAAAGAAACAAAGAAGATGTTGGGAAGATAAGATTTTGATGCGCGATGCGAACCAATTCGCGAGTTCTTGCAATGCGTATAGGGAGCTCGCACATTTTTGCGATGCGATGTCGCATTTGCTTGTTTTTAGGTTTTGGTTTTCGAAGTCGGTCATTTTAGTTTCAAAGTCAAAGTCAAAATCATTTATTTCATTTAGACCAGGAAGGCACCGTGGAACGTCAAAACAAAAAAAAATTAAAAGTGAAACTATTAAAATTTGCTCATTCCAAGGTGTAGATTCCTATGGAGAAGAACGAGTAAGAAACTCCAAAGGTCTCTACTCTTTTTCAATCAGGTTCACAGTACAATTCTCTACCTAGTTACATAGTTTTGTGGGTACAATTCTGTGAGAATAATGTAACGATGTATTTAATCTGGGATTTCTGTTCCACCAGCTAAGCGTTAAAGATTATTATGGCATACCCTCTTATGTACAGGAGGGTCATACCGTCATAGTTTACCCGAGAGTACGGCGCGTCGCGTTCCGCGCGCGCCTCAAAGAGCCATCAGACCACCACAGATGGGGCCTAATACGGCCGATGCCGATTCGGAGTCGCGGAGAACCTAACGGGTAATCGGGGCTCCGGCTCGACGTGCAGGAGAAGGAACGGGGTGGTTTTTAGTCAGTAAGAGTCTGACACTCCCTCCGGCCTCACCCAGGCGGGAGCAGTCATTCGATGATTTTCCCCCCTTAAAAAAAAACCGTCTTAGTTTATAGTCATACCGTAGTGGCCTGTCACGGGACTGTTTACTATAATTTATCGATTATTTTGGAAAAGATGACACTTAATTTTACTTCACAAAAATTTCTTTTAATGACAAATTAATGACGATAAGAAAACATGTAATTACATGATGGAACAACGACTTTTAAAAACCCAATTACATACCAAATTGACTGTCGCAAGTGCGACTGTCGGGCAAAGGGTCTCGGGTTCGATTTCCGGGTTGGGCAAAGTATTACTGGGTTTTTTAAAAATCTCAGTAGTAGCACGGAGTGTGGAAATGTGCCCGGTATATGGCAATAGGCTCACCCCCTATTACATGGGACTCATAACATAAATAGTGAAAAGTGGGTGTTACATTGTACAGTGACATTTAGTGCCGTAATGTGCACCTCTGCCTACCCCTTCGAAGATAAAAGGCGTGATGTTATGTTATTACATACTAAAATGATAGAAACACACAAACAGATAGAACATCCAATCAAACATACATATAATATTTAGGTATTTCCCCGAACACGAAATGACTGATAAAATACATAAAATTTAATAATATCAAAGTACAAAAAATATTATGCAATCTCAAATATATGTATATATCTATATGTAATCTGATCTGATTGTACAGTTATTTACTATTGATGTCATTGTATATAACACCTGTTATGTACAGTCGGCACTATTCTACTTTATTTACTAACCAGGTAAGATAATAAAAGTTGACTATGTACAAAGACAGTAGCTATTCCTATACTGAACCAAGTGTGGGAGAGCCATGCTTCGGCACGAATGGGACGGTTCGACCGGAGTGATACCACGGCCTCACAGAAAACCGACGTGAAGCAACGCTTGCGTTGTGTTTCGTCGTGTGAGTGAGGTTACCAGAAGCCCAACTACCTTCCTCTTCCCCAATCTCCCCATTCCGTGAATCCCCAACGATCCTCAAACTCCTAATCCATGGGCGACCTGGGGATGGGTGTCCATGGGCGACATGGATTGCTTACCATCAGGTGATCCGTCTGCTTGTTTACCGGCTTATGCCATAAAAAAAACTAGCATCTGCCCGCGATTTCGTACGCGCAATCCCATTTTTTCCTGATCCCGTTCGTGATTTTCGGTAAAAGTAAAAAACAAAAGTATTGGATAAAAATTCCATATCCGTCTCCTGGTTCTAAGCTACCTCTGCACCAATTGAGTAGTTTCCTGAGTCAAAAAAATAATAATTTTGATTTTTCAGTCCAAATAAATATTGATAAATAGTTACACTTTCATTCATAGTTTTGCCGATTGACTTAATTTTCGATTTGTTTTAGCATTCTTTTTAGATATAAGTGTGGTATTTGCCTCGAAAATATGATGACGTCATAAGATGGTATTTCGTACAAAATTCATAGAACAGTATCGTTTTTGACGTTTCGATAAAAGTATTGAATTTGACTAGTTGCCAAATACCGTATTCTCATTTAAATCGATTTAGCCGTTTTTGAGTTATAAATAGTGTAACTAACACGACTTTATTTTATATGTATAGATTATACAGTTTTAATCAAGCCAAATCTTCTGTCACCCAACCAATAGTTACTGTTTCTGTACTAATTCAATCTTTTTTTTATGGGGGGAATATCATCGAATGACTTCTCCCGCCTGGGTGAGGCGGGAGGGAGAGTCAGAGTCACTAAAAACCACCCCGTTCCTTCTCCTGCACGTCGAGCCGGAGCCCCGGTAACCCGTTAGGTTCTCCGCGACTACCTGCATAGCTATGCTGACTGTACTAATGTAGACAAGACTTGCCTAGAAAAACCCAATAAGTAATACTATCATCAAAATAATAATTATCAGCGGGAATTCTCCTATTGCTGAACAAAGATCTTTACGTGTGATGACAATAAAACATAACATAACATCACGCCTTTTATCCCTGAAGGGGTAGGCAGAGGTGAACATTACGGCACTTAATGCCACTGTACAATGTAACACCTACATTTCACTATTTATGTTACCCATGATTTTTCCCACCTTGGGTGAGGCCAAAGTGGAATGTGAGACTCTTATTTACTAAAAACCACCCCGTTCCTACTCCTGCACTTCGAGCCGGAGCCTCGGCAACCCGTTAAGTCCTCCGTTAGGGCCTTCCTTATTGGGCCCCATCTGTCTGGTTCTGGTCGGACGGCGAGCCACCCTTGCTCGCCGTCCGCAGACCCGTGATTATGGTGGCCGTAGATAGAATTGTCCCTTACTGGCAATGCGAATAAAGACCTCACTCTCAAGAGTAATTTGTTCACATCCCCACAGGGACCTCATCATCTCAAAATTCATAGTTATAGCACTAAGTGTAAAGCAGCTGGTATCGACAAAAACTTCATATTAATTCACCAAACCAGGATGTCGATCCTCGACTCAAAACGGACTACACAAATAGCCATATTTTCCCATAGAGTATTTCCTCATACAATACCGAAATCACGTAGTGATGACGTTTGTTATATGTATTTAAACATCAAAAATATTTGTTCACGCACTGTTTGATAGTAGGAATAATATTATGACGATTATATTTTAGTGCTATTTTTATCATCAGCCGGTTGACGTCCACTGCTGTAGAAGATAAATAAGGATAAAGGTCTTCTACGTAAGAGTGAGGAGATTTCGTAATCTCCACGGTTGTCTGACTTTGAGGATCGCCATCATCGAACGTTTTAATGATGCTGTTCACTGTTGCTTTTATGGTATAAGCCGGTAAACGGACAGACGGACCACCTGATGGTAAGCAATCGGCGTCGCCCATGGACACCTGGAACACCAGAGGCGTTACAAGTGCGTTGCGGCCTTTTGGGGATAAGGATAAGATAAGAAGGACAACTTCTGCGTCTACCTCCTTTGTTTTAATGATAGATTGTTCACTATCCTCTCGCATTTGCAATGGAGATTCGATGGTCTCATTTCCACCCCTACGAACTGGTGATACATCGACATGACTTAAACCAATCGGGCCACTTTCTGTAGGCCAACCGCTTCTGTTCAAGTTCCCGTTACGCAAAGATGCTGGTATTAAGGAGTCATTTTGTATTTTCAAAATCTCCACTTTAAAATCTTGCAGTTGTGTCTGCGTTACACATGCTTCTTTAATTTCTTTAACTTCATTTTGCATACGAAGTAAATCCTTTAACAGTTTAGTGCAATCGAGATGATCAAATAATATTGGAGGTAGTTTATCTAAGTCCCGAGCCACAAAAATTGGGAATTCATCCGGCTCCACAGATTTAAAAACACTAATTATGTCCACTAGGTCTCGTTGCTCCTTTCCTTTATTTTTCCTTCTTATTTTCGCCTTTTCCACGGGAACAGATTCGTACAAAAGTGTTTTTGATTTTTCAATATCTTCACTTGTAAACGTCGATGCACATACCCGCACTAACGTATCTTCATCAATTATTGAAATTTTATTTTGTATATACGCTAATAACTCGTCTATTACTACGTTACAGGAAATACATTTAACCACTGTCGTCATTTTGCCTTTATTAAATATGTATTCCGTCACACAAATGTCGTTCGATAAAAATGCATCCTTACAGTACGGACGCGTGCGCGAGACTCTAGTATTATGTACACAGCTGTAGTTTTTCCTCATTTACAAACAAAGTTACGTAAGAAATGACGTTTTAGAATTAAAATATTTGTGCACGCAATCTGTTTGATAATAACCATAAAATCACGTCTCTTG